ATACCCATCACAGACCGTGACAGAGAAACCCTAATACCCATCACAGACCGTGACAGAGAAACCAAAGACCCATCACAGACCGTGACAGAGAAATCCTAGTACCCATCACAGATCGTGACAGAGAAATCCTGGTACCCATCACAGACCGTGACAGAGAAACCCCAATACCCATCACAGATCGTGACAGAGAACCTCTGGATCCATCATAGACCGTGACAGAGAAACTCTAGTACCCATCACATACCGTGACAGGGAATCTTCGGACCCATCACAGACCGTGACGGAGAAACCCCAATACCCATCACAGACCGTGACAGAGAAACCCTAGTACCCATCACAGACCGTGACAGAGAAACTCCAATACCCATCACAGACCGTGACAGAGAACTGTCAGAGACCATCACAGACTGTGACAGAAAAACTAGTTTTGAAGCATCAAATAAACGGTAAGCTACAGATCTATCTTGAAGAAATGGAACAAAATAATGTCCATTTAATTAATTACAATAGCTCCATCGTGTTTCACATTTTTAATCCCGCAAGGGATTGCGCTAACAGCTTTTTTTGACGAGAATGGATTTTCTCTATGAGTTGTATGTCAATCGATAGAGAATCAAATTCTGAATCTTGTCCACCAAGTCCCGTATATGTAATACTTGAATGCTGAATTCAAGTATTCAAGTATTCAATAATTGAAAACTTGAAGTTTCTACTATTCAAATTTTAACTTCTCAAGTGTTCTGCAGATATTCAGTGGGGAAGCACATGTCCCCACCTAACACACCTTTTATTTCAGCATCTCGGCGTGGGAGCGCGAAGCACCTCCCGAAGAGCTACGACCAGGGTGGCCAGATCAAAAACTTAAAAATCAGAAATTTTTTTTTTCGAAATCAGAAAACGATCAGAAATTTGTCTGGCAAAATCAGAAAATAATCAGAAAAGGTAATTTTTTTGCAAACTGGTGTCTATTACGTTAAAATGACGTCACAAAATGCTCTCTTTGGTTTCTATTTATGACTCACACATTATTTTCAAAGATAATTCACAATAAAGAACGACAATATAAAGAATATATAGTTTAAATCATACGAAATAATAAAGAACATTTAGAGTCGGCCTCTTTTCCACTATATTCAAAATTTGTCCTCAAAACCGGTATAGAAATAAGCCGCATATGTAGTATCCATGTTCAGAGCTCCTACAAAAAGAGAAAAAGGTTAAATAATATCAATTCGTTATTTTTATTCATATTTCTCGTTTGTTCGATTTTGCTTTGATAAATGTCTTTGAGTTAAAAGATGTTTATACAGATTTTGTCTGGATCCAGCGTACTCAGGAACGTAACTAAACCTCCAAAGCAGAGGGCGTAATCCCTAAGATCTCAAAATTTCGAACGCAGAGAAGTTTAATGCTACTATTTATATAAATCCAGTAGCTAAACGCCTTTGAAAAAGAACTTTTTTCTGTTTTGCTGTCTAAAAGAAACAAAATTTTTAGAAGAAGGCTGCGACCTAAGCGCCTTTACAGTTACTCCCTTGGACATGCTGCTGCTATTTGATAAAGATTCACCAGCGCATGAAAGTGTCCGTTAGTAACTGTAAAAGTCACAAACTACAAACTATTAAGACAAAAAGATGACATAATATTGAACTAGCAGTGAGTTATAATTGTACTTAAGTTTACTAACAAAATTACGATCTAAAAACGTCCAGATTCGTAGAAAAATCAGAAAAAACTAACCAAATCAAAAAAATCAGAAGATCAGAAAATAATTACAAAAATGTTCAAATTTTACAAACTTTTTTGACTTTTCAGAAGATCTGGCCACCATGATCAATAGTAATAATTCTAGTATTCATATGAGAACGAACTAGTACGTTTGCAACGATAGAAACGAAAGTCAGGAAAATCAGAAAAAAATCAGAAAGCCATCAGAAAAAGTGTTCAAAATCAGAAAATTTCTGAAAAATCAGAAGATCTGGCCAGCCTGGCTACGACCCATGCACGTCTCTGTGTACACCATTGTTCCTATTCAGTGCTGCACAGTAGCTCAAGCTTCTCACATATTTCTTGTAGCATCACAGATAATGTCTGAAGCATCTCAACCATAACCTGTAGCATCCTAGATGATGCTATCGATGTGAAGCTAGCATGACGAGTAGCTACCACGACGGATTTAGGTGAGCTTGGAATCTGTAACGCTCGGCGTTGTTGGGGCGGAAAATTGGTGAGGGTGTTCGGCAACATGTATCCAAACACCTGCACCCAGGTCCCGCCCCTAAAAGTCCAAGTATGCACGATTTTTGGTTTACCTAAATCCGTTGTGGTAGCTACTCGTCGTGCTAGCTTTACATCGATGGTGAATGCTTGCAACATTCCAGATAATACCTGTCGATGTTAGATGATTCTGGTGGCATTCCAGGCGTTGACTAATTGAGTACTTAAATACTTGAATAGTTGAACTGACAGTTGAATACTTGAATTCAACTTTCAAGTTTGACACTACTGCCCCAATTATGAGATAAATTTATATTATACATAGTGCTGCAAAAATTTTATTAGTAAAAGATATTCTGAAACTGTTTTCTTCTTAGTTAATTTGAATTCTTACTAAAAAATAAATTGAATTCGAGTGAAAAACACTTTTTGCAATATTTTATAGTTGGAATCGACAGTCGTAAGTGCTATCGGCGATAGTGCCGGAAAACATGCAACATGAGTCGTTTTGTGAGCACTCTAGAGTCATGATCTAACATATAATGAATCAAAACAAACGACCTACTTGAGTTAGTATAACTTGAAATTAAAAACTAAGGATACAAGATGCTTTGAAAAAACCTACGGTTATCTTTATATCTAATCATTCGATGATTATTATTTAATTTTTGAAAATTTGTTAATATATATATATATATAATATATTTATATATATGTATCTATTGTTCATACTGTTCATTTTTAGTCACACATTCAATGACAAAATGTCAAAGTTGGAAAAAAAAATCTTGATATACACACATGCGCACGTATTGAACAAAACAAAAAAAGAAAGAAGTTTTGTACCACAGCAATGGATACGACAACAAGCCACACAGAAGAAAGAAGAAATATTTATTTTTGATGATATGAATACACGCTCAATGACAATGACATCGCCGCAGATATATAATTTAGCACCATTAATTGTTTTCGATTAAGGATTTAGTTGGGAAAAATAAAGAACTGCAATGCTAAGATAGACAAAACAAATGTATTCTTGTATCAAATTAATACCGGAATCTTATCAATCAACAAGATAAATCACCGTCTAGGACCACAATAGATTTCTAAAGAAATATATTTAATTAATAAGAAAAAATTCTTTTTATTTCTTGTTTTTTTTTTTTTTTCATTTAAAACATACGATCTTTTTCCGATTGAGTTAAAGATGTTTCAGGTGTTGAAAAAAAAAGATAATCATCAACAGATGTTGATTTTGATTGTGTAACTACTTGTAATATTCCACATTCATCAAATTTAATATCTTCATCGTTTTCTGATATCATTTCAAATATATCATTTGCTGTTCTTACCTTTTGTCTAGTTGACATCTCTAAAAAAAAATTAATCTTTTTAAAATCTTTTGTTTTTTATTATTTCTCACCAACACCCGATGCTGTTCTTATTAAAGTAAATATTCTTTGATTATCATAACATTCAACAATTTCATTTAAATTAAGTGGCATTAACGAATTATTCTAAATATAATCAAATTATTAAATAAATAAAAAAAAAAACAACAAGTAGTATTCCAGTTTTTACATACAGCATAAAAAACAAAATGTCCAATAGAATAATTTAATTTTTCAACAACTGGTTGTAAAATTTGTAAAAGTGTTCGTTTTGGATTACATCGTACACATAAAGTTTTTGTTGGAAAATCAATACGTATTAATATACGAGTTTCAACATAAATTTCTTTTCCAGATAATGTTGATAAGGGTTCTTGAATATCAATAGATTGCTAAATATAAATAGTGTTAAGCTATATATATATATATATATATAGTTGTAGCACTCTTGTACAGACGGATGTGTCAACAACATTTTAATCAATAATCCGAAGAATAGTAAAAGACAATAGCTGACATTTCTCATATTTCATTGGAAACAAGAAACAACTGACATGCAAAATTAGTTTTGTATTAGTAATTAAATATGAGTCAAGCTATAAAAGAAACTCATCTTGTTCATATATCTAATTGAAATTTATTGTGTTTATTGAAAAAAAAAAGGAATAGGCTATATTATTTACGACTATGGAAAGAATATCGAGCAATTACTCAACTATAAATTTATAATAACTAGAGAAAACGGTTGATTTCTCCAAATAATTGGTTTGAATCTTGTTCGACACATTTTCGGACTTAATGTACTTGTATAAATTTAACAACAGATCATAGAAGCAAGTGTACATCAGTTAACACTAATTGAGATATGTATAAAATACTAATTAATTAAGATAGAATGAAAATATAAAAAAATCAAATTCTTGCTTTGATCCTTATCTTGAGAAGATTTATTTCTAAATATCTCTACAAAAATTCTTAAATTTCTGTTATTCGAATAATTATTGATTACAGAATGTATCATTCTGTTTTTTTTTGAATAAGAACAGGCATTTCGAAACAATTAAAATCTAATGGTAATCTCACGAAGGAATCCATTCGACTGATATCCAGCGTTTAAACTCATATTTTACTCATAGTGTAGATAAAAGTCCTGAAAGAATTCGTGTCATTCAGCCTTTCTTCTCGAATTATGATCATTTTATTAAACTTTCAGCTTATTGCAGAATATCATGAGAAAAATCGAAACAATAAGTTTCAACCTGAAATTCTTCTCAATAATAACTCTCATGGCCTTTCTCTGATATCCGGCAAATTTCAGGTGAAACAAATCGATTTCTTTTTAAGATAAACAGGGCTATTTTTGGAGTTCTTGTGTGAAAGTAATATTTTTTGCACAGACATGTTATCTCAGAAGGAAAATATCCGTTTGAGTTGAAACTTTCCGGATACCATAAGAGCCATGAGAACTATTGTTGAGAAGAATTTCAGGCAATAATTTCTTGTTGCGATTTTTCTCGTGGTATTCTACAATAGGCTGAATGATGAGTAAAATGACTATAACTCGAGAAGAAAGATGTAATGGTGTAAATCCTTTCAGGATTTTTATCTACACTATGAGCAAAATATGAGCTCAAATAGAGATTATCAGTCGGATGAGTTCTCCCGTCCGTGGCAGATTTAAGAGGAGCACGAAAGTTTTTTTGTTGTCCAGAAAAAATCAACAAAAAATAAGTTTATATTACCTCGAATGATCTTCAAAAAAATGATTTTTATCTACGATCATCTTCTCCTTTGAAAGAATATCGACTCCTTCAGCTTTCTAAAATTCTAGATTTATTTTTGTATAATCTTCGTAACAAATGCATTGATATTCGCTATAAGCTAAAAGCTTTTATCAATCAATTAGAAAACCTATCATAAATTATATTCACGAAATTTGTACAAGTCAAAATATGGCATAAGCATTTCAAAAACAGGCACATTCAAATAAACGAATGACAGTTAGTTTCAATGATATTAAAGTATAATCTATACGAAAAGAAGAAAAAAAAATCATCGTTATTTTTATTTAAGATTAATGTATGAAAGAATTGTAATCATGCTTAAATGTTTTATTAGAGAATTTATCGACAAAAATGAAAAAAGATACATTTAATTATAGAAAAATATTTCCTTCTTTTCATTGAAAAATATCTTTATATTATGGAAGTAGCTTAATTATTATGATTAAAAAATAACTAAATTTTGAAATGATCTCATTACTATCATACAATTACATTAATTTATTTTTTAATATTATACATTCATTCTCAATATTGAACAATACTAATTTCTAGATATAATCCAGTACAAATAATTATATTTCACATTCAATTGATATTATACAATATAAAAAAGAAAATATTCTTTTTTCCAGGACAGAATATATATCTAGGTATAAGAAGGCTTGATACTAAAAATAGTTAATCTTTTTCATGTCAACCGAATGTGTCATATATGTCGAGTCTCGCAAGAAAAGTAGATTATCTTCAAACAGGAAATAATCTCGGACTAGTTTGTCTTATCAAATGAAATATTAAAAAAACACAAAATATTTACTTGATCAATAGAATATAATTCAGTTCGATACCATGTAAGTCCACGTTTAGCAAATAGACGATTAATCGTTTTTTGAATAGTATTTGTAGAATTATGTGTTAAAATAACCGTTGATGTTGAATCCGGAAATATGAAACGACAAAAACGAGATAAATCTATTGATGATATTGAAGGATGTTCCTATGAAAACAAAAAAAATTGTTAGTTTTTTTTTTTTGCTTGTATGAATAGAATATCAATTAATAAACTAACAATTATAAATTTTTTATCATTATTATCTTGATTTGTATCGGAACGTGAAGCAACATTAAACAATGATGAATCTTGTTGATTAATATTTGATGAATATTTATTTATTTTATAAAAATTTCCAATGGTCAATAATGGAGATGATGGTGGGGTCTGAAGGTAAATTGATGATGATGTAGTTGGAGTTTTATTTAAACATGATATTGGTGTCAATTCTATTAATGCTGATTTATTTGTTATTGATGAATAATAATTATCATATAATGGTGTATTTGTACTAGCATTTGCAGTTTGATGATGTTGAAAATTAGGCGATGATGAGGATGTATCACGTTTAACTAAATTTAAATATTCAACAAATAAAAGAATTTTATTTTTTGAATTAACAAAACAAAGTAGAATTTGATAAATTTTCTTTTTTTTTTTTTTTTTGTTTCTACTTTAGAAAATATTTACTATCTACCTGATTAAAGTAGAAAAGTTAATGAAATACACTAATCATCACCGGAATCTTCATTGAGCGTGTTACTCGCCGAGTTTGACACTGCAACGGAGAGAGAGGAATCTATATCGATAGAACTGTATTTTAACTATATTATAGATATACACATATATATATATATATAGAGGTAATATGTGCGAGTGGGAATTAAAGAAAAACAAGCTTCTAGTGGATGTAAAAATATTAATATTAATTTTCATTATTGTCTTACACATAAAGCACAATAATGAAATTAATATTGATTAAAAGAAGAATATATAATGTGCAATAAAATATTTATAGTGCGTTAATAACAGTACCGAACAGTGACATGCTCTTTTATTATTTTCATCGCAAAAAAAATATCATTCAATACATATACGTTTATTTCAACAGCATATTAGATCTAGATCGATCAACTATCTATGTCATTTCATACCTCATTCACATGCAGAGCATCAATAACTGACATAAAGCTATCAACACACGAATGGCTAGTAGTAACAGCAATAACAATAGCAATCAGCAATAGTACATGTTAATGACTATGACTACTAATATTTTCTCTATCTATTCGTAACTCGATGTCTTTTGAGTTTTGACGAATAGATGAAGAAAACAGAGATACATTAATTTTTTTTTTCAGAGGGTTGGCAAGGTTATTAACTAGACAAGCTCGTTTTTTTTCTATTTGTATATATATATATATAATGGATGCAAAACATCAAAAGAAAGACTTGCTTGTCTCTGGCGCAGCTAAATAAATCGAAATAATGTATACAACAACTAGATACATTAGCAAAAGTAATAACTAACCTGATAGACGTTTCCATTTAATTAATGCTATAGAAAAAACATAAATAAGAAAAAGTCAAATAATAATAAAAAAAAAAAAAAGAAATAGAAATTTTATTATTACCTTTTGTCCAAGGTAAAAGTGGACTTCGTTTTTTATCTTTTTTCTCTTCTTCTTTCAATTTACCCTATGAATAATAATTAAAAAAAAAAAAAAAGAAAAGAAACTTTCAATAAATTCTGTTTGAGTTTTTTTTTTTTTCGTGATTATATTTCATACAAGAGAATCAATTGTTTTCGAACGTTCTTCATTATTAACTGATGTTTGTTGTGGTTTTGTGATATATGGTATGGGTTTTCCTTCCATTTCACTCATAATACAATCTTTATACATATTAGATTTTAAAAATCTTGTATATGAATCAAGTTTCATCAATTGAAATATCTGAGATTGAGCCTTTTCAAATATATGAGCATTAGGATTATTTAATAATGATTGTTGACATTCTTGTCTTGTTCGACTATCAATATTGATTCGACATGAACCATCATCTGTATCATGTAAATATGTTGACCAAATAGAATTAGCTTTATTACGAATCTAAAAATAATTGATATTTTTTTTTTCTGTATATAATAAAATGATAACAGACTTCATCTGGATCTGACAATTTTTTTAATTTTTCGCATTCAATCCAAAATTGAATATTTTCTTGACTAAATTCTTTTTTTAAAAATTCTGTAAAGACATGTAAACCAATTTCATCATTGAGCAATTTTTCAAAACCAACAGCCCATGAAGCAACACGACCAATATCAATTAATTTATTTGATTCTTCATTATCTTCATCTTCACATTGTTTATGAACACTTGTTAATGAATTTGATATAGATAAACGTGTTGCTGATAATTCTGCTGTTTCTTCATCAGTAACTGCAAGTGACTAAAATATAAATTAAAACAAATTTTTATGTTCATTTTATTTATTTTTATATACCTTAGTCTTAATAAGTTTTGATCTAGTAGAATGAAATTTTATCTCTGATGACATCGTCATTTATTCTTCTCACATGAGAACATCATAAGGAAAAAAAAGGAATATAAAAAATTGAATACGACAAGTAAAGGATGAACGTGTCTAGTCTTTCTTTTGTTTTAATGGTCCATTGTGTTCTTAACTCGCTTGCCTTGCGTTTCCTCCTCTCAGTTTCTTTTGGTTTTTGACTCGATGACTTCTCTATGAAAATGCAACTAGCGGCAGTGATAAATATTTTTCTTGTTAAGCACTAGTTGATGTGTTTTTCTTGTCATATAAATGCACACAAAGCATCGATGTAGAAGAAAAAAGAGCGAAAGGACAACGACCGTTCTAGTGGTGTCATTCTTCGTTTTTTCTTCCCTTCTTTTGACATATATACATATTGAAATAGATAAATATAGTTCTCCAGGTTTTACTTCTCTTTCTCATTTGATCTGTACTAAAATAGAAAAGAAAGAGAATACAGTATGACTAAGCTAAAAAAGAAACAGAAAACAATAAAATGTTTTCATTTGTATCTTTTCTTCTTCGATGATGATAGGCAGATGGGACTTGTTCATATTTCAAGTAACTTAATTTTGTTTTCTTTAGTATTCTTATTTTGTTAATAAATAATTGATGCCAAGTGTTTTGAGTTGATTCTATCATTATTATCATTTTCTCTAAAATAATTTATCTACGTTTTTTTTTTTTGCTAATAGTTTTCCAATCATAACCTCGATATTTTGACAACAAAATAATTTGTTCGATATCAACCTAATAACTTATGTACAAAAGAAAAACAACATAAGACAAGAATCATTATTATATGATTAGCTTATTTTTTTCATATCAAGAAAATTTTTGAGAAAAAAATGTTATGTCAAATTTTTCTTATTTCAATAGAAATCATTTAATTAAACTCGTTTAAAGATTTGTTCATCAGATGTTTGTTTTTTTTTTGTAGACCTTCGAGAGATAGAAAGCAAGAAGAAAATCTAAAAATTAGTTTTCTTATAACATACCAATGCATTTGGAAGTTTATATTCATTAACACTCGACTGACGACGAAAATCAGTAAGAAAATTTCGTATATATAAACGATGATTCGCACTTATATTACTATTACGCATGATATTTTTCTGAAAATGATATAGATATATATTGAATAAAATCTTTTTTTTCAATCGTTGTCGTTGTTGTTCTATTTTCGATGTTGTAGTCGTCGTATTATTAATGATTGATTGTTGTTTATGAGTGCGAAGAAAAAGAAAAAGAACAAAGTAATTCCATATTCGATTCAGTAGTATATGTTTTTGATCAACAGAGTTTCTTGTTCTTATAATCTTTAAAAGCTCAGTAGCATGCAATCCCAAGACAACGACTCCTTCTTTCTGCTTCTTCTTCTGCTTCTTCTCTATCGCCTTTTGTTAGTCGTATGATAGAAATATTTTTCATCGCGTCAATACACATAAGTCTCTCTCTCTCTCTCTCTCTCTCTCTCTTCTTCAATAGTCCATACAAATGGGTTCAATACTAGAGAATGAACGTATGGAATCAATAATTGAGTCTCAAACATTAACAATAGTGAATGAGAAGGAAAAAACAAAAAAAAAAGAAAAAAAAAAGTAGCAACACTAACACAATAGATGACTCTTTCTTTCGATTGATCACAACTATTAGATATACTATGAAGGAAATTTTTCTTTCTTTATTTTTCTTTTGATCAGAAAAATAAAAAAATTACTTGACTATTGGAATATAATCAAATATTTAATATAGAAAAGTCAATAAATCAAACATAATTTCAAATGAAGAGAAAAAGAATAAATTGTGCGCAATGTGCCGGAAAAGATCAATATAGAATAATGTGATACTGATGGTATGCACATGCAAGTAATATAGACGAAATAAACCAATACTCCCTCGATTATTGATAGGTTATTGAGACCTCGAAAAGTCTATCGAATCTTATTGAATAACCAATGTTACTCTTCAATGAACTATGACTCTCTTCTATATAAAAAAAGAAGCACGCAGTTCAATAACATTAGCAATTCTTTAATATAAATTTATAAATAATCTTATAATAAGTTTCTCTTTCTATAAATCTTGATTATTAATTGAATAAATACATATTACAATGAAAAATAGATTTATTAGAAAATAAAATACCTGTGTTCTTTGTGTTCGTTGTAATCCAATAAAATTTGATATATATAATTGATTACTACTGTCATAAAATTGTATATTCTTTTTCTTACTAGTTAACATTATTATAAAAGAAAATGAAGACTGACGTATTTCGAATTAGAAGAACTATGATAGTTTTACATTTCCTTTGTTTTGTTATATCATATAAATGAGAGAAAATCTTGTCACGAGTATCTAATAGAATCATGAACTGTCTCTCATTTATTATTATTCAAGTGTGAAACAACATTGAAAAAAAGAAGAAAATGATCAACATCATTCATTCTATATAACAATAAGCAAAAATGAAAAAAAAAAAAAAAGTTGAAAGCTAATCAAGCAAAATGTTTTATTACTAAAAAAATATAAGTTGTAGAGTTTTTGTAAAAAAAAAAGTCTCTTTTCCAACATATTTCAATCAGTAACATCCGATCGTATCGAAGATGGGAATAAAAAAAAGTTATCTTGAATAAGATATCTTTAAAAGAAATCTTTTTATAGATATAGAAAAAAGATACATTACGCTTGATAGAAAATATCTTTCTTTTAATAGATAGAATGAAAATATTTTATATTCTAACCTGAATATCAGAACAACGTAATGATGAATAACAAGAAAGACGATGACTCTTTCGTGAATATTTATTCATAAATTCATTCAATGTTTTTCTCGTTGTTATTGACATATTTTAAGTAGACATTGTCAATCAATTGATAATAAAAAATTCTATTTAATCATTTTCTTTTTCTCTCTCTCTCTCTCTCTCTTTTTTTTTTTAAAATCAATATTCATGCAATATATAAGATGTATATGTGTAGATGCGCATGTTTTATAATCACATTTTGTTTATTGTGGATGTCGAATGACGACAAACATCGACTAAACTAGTTGAAAATGTAGTGTGCAATAGAGATGTAGGAATCAGCGAAGGTCTTATTAATTCTAATTCTATTAGAAAAGAAAAGGGAAGACTGCATAACAAAAACAGACAGTCAAATCATCACATTTCATGGCCACAATAAAAAGAGTATAGAAAGATTCTTTTTTTTTTCTTGTTGACATGAACTTGAACGCCGACGCATACCGTGTAAACGACGTATATATATATATATATATATATATAGATAGATAGATGGATAGATAGATAGATAGATAGATACGTTTCTGAAGTCTCATCTCATTATTAAACAACATTTGATTGTCATTCGCATTCATTCGAATAGAATTCGATGCGGAATGATGAACAAATAATGGATTCACAAACGTGATGGTAACTGAATAGTGTAATGAAGATAGAACAAACAACTCGTACCATTTCCGATAAATAAATGAAAGGATAACGATTGCTTATTTTATCAATTATTATCTTGATAAAAGATATAAAATACTTTTAATAGATAAAAGTCAAATAATATAACATAAAATAAAGTAAAACAATCTTGTTAAATTTTCTTAATAATGAACTTAATAAATTAATTTTTTAATTTCTCTTTTATCTCATGAGTAATTTATTATAATTTCTCATTAAGCATTCCATACTAATACTTCATAGACACTACATATATAACCTTTACATTATCAAACAAAATTAATCAAATCAACTTCTGTCAACATAATATGACAGTTTTTCAAACAAAAAAAATTCATTATCATTGTAGTCCGATGAGCACGAGATATGTTTTTCAAAGTTAGATTTTAATAACATGAACAATGTCTTAAATAAGAAAATCTTTTTTCATCGATCATTATTCTATTAGGTTCATTAGTTTCAGGCTACTGAAAAAAACAAGAGTTTCTTTCATCGAAAAAAAAAAAAAAAAACACAACAATAGACAAGTTATTCTCTCTCTCTCTCTCTCTCTCTCTCATTCGTAGGATTCATTGAGTACAGAAAGAAAAAAAAACAAACAACAAAATTTAATATAAAAATTTCAATGACCTTGTTCACCGATTCATATGTCATCTCAATGGAAGTAAAAAAAGAAACCCAATTCACATGATAACACATCTTATGGATATTTCCTTTGAGATTTTATTTCATAAATTCTACTAAATAAGCAATTTCTTATAATGAATAGTGAAATCTTACAGATTTTTCTACAATTTTTATTTGTTTATCATTATATGAAAAAAAGGAAATAATCCTATTAATTATAGTCAAAAGAAAATCAACAATTATATTTAAATATTACAAAAAAAAATAATAAATACATAAATAAAAATTGCAAGAAGATTAATTTTTTTTTTGTTTCTCTTTTCTTTTTTTTTAATCATAATAATAAATAAGACATATTGAATTATTTATATTCACGCATAAAGACAAACATCCTATAAGACACACGGATAATGTCTTCTTTCGTTTTTTGGTAAGAAAGATGGGTTGCGTAGTTAGATTGGCATCTTTAGATAATGATAATAATAATAATAACGATCGCTTACATACACTCATCTCTTTTTCTCAAGGCGTTTAAGCAATCCATCATCAATGTTAGTTAACTCTTACTGATGGGCTTAACTTGATCTTTTCTATATACTTTCAGTCGTTATTTGCGATAATTTCCGAGTATTTTGCCTTGTTGAAGAAAAATTGTTAGTTGCATGAATCTCAACAGATTCAATATCTGTCATCACTCAAAGAAAGCGATTTGACGTATATATGAATATATAAATCAATAGCAGATGGTATATAATAATATAGTGACATTGATATATACCTTTCGGTTTTTGTGTTTTATAAATAGGAGTTTATTTAAGCATTCAATTAACGGTATGACAAAAAATTCATTTTTGTATCTAATAATTTTTGACATAAGATAAATTCATCTATAGAATAAAAACTTTCTCTCTTTATAATGTCATCATCATCATCATCATCATCACCATCATCTGCTTGAAGAAATATAAAAACATATGTGTCTAGGATATATAATCTTTCTCTATTTTCTTTTTCCTATGTCGATATCCAGCAGCGCTACTAATTAGATTTTGTCACATACCAATGTTGAAGTCGTAAAACTTGCTTTACGTAATTGAGAATTTCGACGTTGATAATAATTAACAATCGATGTTCGACGTTGATGTATACTAACACCAGCACTAGTCATATTAGCTGCATTGATTATTGACAAGCGACGAGGGTCAACATCAAGAAAATGACGATTAGTTGTTGCTGAAGGGGTGAGGAATAAGTTAGACGAATTATTAGGATGAATTGAGGACATTAATGAATAAATAAGAATAATTAAAATGACCAAAGAAAAACAGAAAACAATTGAAAGTATTATACAATGTATAAATGAAAAAGTTATAAATCAAAGATGTGTATGTATTCGCGTTATTTTAGCTCCCATCGTCGACATCATTGTTTCCGACCACCTACTATCTCACAAGCACATGACGATACACAGGAGAAGAGAGATAGAGAAAAAGATAGTTGCTCTATTTAGAGAAGAAAGATTTATTCGGTGCCGTCGCTTCAAGAAAGAAAACATAATGGTGCGTGCTTGTCTAAAGGGAACGAGAGAGAGAGAGAGATAGATATATATATATATATATATATATATAAAGAGAAAGAGAGAGACAGCAAAGAATCTGGAAGGAAAGCGAGAAACGGACGCCTGCTGCGTCTGACGATCCGCTATTTAAACGAATACAATAATCATTGATGATGATGATGTTGATGATGATGATGATGATGATGATGATGATGGGATGGCTTGTTTCCTTTTTTTCTCCTATTCTATTGGGTCTCTCTTTCTATTTCTCGGTGTGGTAGATAGCTTGCTAACTCAGCCGATATTTTACACACATGATGAAACAACGACAACGACACGCATCTGTTTCTTTTTTTTTTGCTCAACAACGAAACAACAACATCCATCGTTGTTGTTCTCATTATTATCGTTTAACTCGATCTCTTTTCTCCTTCTTTTTCGGTAATAGTTTTCGGAAGAAAAAAAAAAAAAAAGAAATAGAACGATAAAACACAAAAAATGATTCCCAATCGAATGTCAAGTCGAATTAGCTCGTTGTCAGTTTAATTAACGAGATCTACACAATTTTCTCGTTTGTTAGTTTGGAATAAGCTCTACGAAGAGAAATATCTATCAAATTTAGTCCGATTGACGACAATGACAACAACAACAACAATAATAACAATAACAACGATGATGATGACTAGTCTAAAAAACTTGATAAGTTTTTTCTTTATATAATATTATATAGAAACATGCTATTAAAGCTCTTTCAAGCATAGGAGAAGTGATCCGATTGTTTTTTCGATGACAGTCCAATCAATGGCATGCATCCTATCTATCTTTTTCTTTCTTGAAAACAAAAGTCTATACCAATGGGAATTGTGTCTTTTGTATTTTCTCAATATGATTAATTTGATCATTCTACATAAAACTACTATCATCTCAAGGTGATCGTCAAAGGCCGTCATTTTCTTTTTCTTTTCTGTTCTTTTTCCAAAAAAGAAATCGATTATTCTTTACTTATACTCTACATAGGGCGAATTATACAACATGTAATGAAGAGCAACACAAGAATGTTGTTATTGTTACTATTGCTCTTCCTCTAGGCGTTTATAATAACATAGACTAAACGACATGCGAGAAGGATTATAAAGCATTTTCGGTATATGTGTTGTGTCTGTTATTGTTTACAATCGTTTTTTCATTAGTATACATATAATATATATATATATATATATGCATTATAACAAGATTATGTCTGAATTGAAAGAAAAAATATGTTAAACTGAAATACAAAAATACAAAACTGTAATCTTATTTAACAAAAAAAAAGAAATAATTAAGAAATAGACACAATTATTTACACTTAAGTGATTCTCTTTGATTACACCATGCCGAAAGAAGTCACTAAAGAATCTATGGGCATATATATTCTCTATAATAATAATAATAATAATAATAATAATAATAACGATCTATAATAAAATTATCTATCTATTCTTTTACCTAGAAATATATAATTAATGAAAAACTTAACAGTCTAAAACAGAAAATACTCTTGCATGTAGTAGGTAATTTAATTAAATACTAATGTAACTATCTATTACAAAATGAATGATTAATGAGTAATAAAACAAATTCAACTGTTACATTTCCTGATACATAGGAAGAAGAAAGTCACTTTTAAATGAGTATTTAGATCTTCATTGATCAACTTTCTTTTTTATAGTACGCACCATTTCAAAGTCGTCTGTTAATTTATACATGATTGATTTATTGTCGTCCATCATTTTCCTTTTTCTTTTCTTCTTTATTCAAGAAAATACTTTTAAGAAAAAGTTGTTCTCGTTTACTTCTTTCTTTTTTCCGCATTCGATTTCTTTTTTTTTTTCAAATATTTGTTCAACTTGCACAATCATGATATGATGATGTTCAACGGTAAAATTAAAATGCGTATTTCAAGAAAAAAAAAAAACACCCAAAGTCGTACACTAAATGAACGTCACCTTTCTCGTTCTATTTTTTTTAAAATTAACTTCTCTTTTTTTCATTGAACTAGAAAAATCATTATATTATTACCTCATGTGATCGACTAATATCCCTTTTTTGTAGAAATTGTTTTCGCTTGATCATACCCACTTTACCAATATTTTTTAATTCCATTTCCTAAAAGAAATAGAATAGAAATAAAATGATGAAATTTTTTATTTTTTTTTTTTGTTCAAACTCAATGTTAGGTTTTTTTTTATTTCTATGAAAAGAAATGACTACACAAGAAAGAGAGAGAGAGAGAAGTATCATCCATGATTAATTTGTTGAATATTTAAACAAATCGTCAATGAGATCATCAACACACAAACTTATTTTATGTTCTTTTGTTCTTCTTCCATTTTTCATTCCCTTATTATTTTTTTTCTTCTTCATCCCATTGTTAACTATACAACCATCATCAGAAATACTACCGGAAACTTGCTCTCTCTCTATCTACTCTCATTACACTCGTCCTCTCTCCCTCCTCGTTCTTTTCGCCATTGAACGATGAAGGCGAATTCCCAAGTTGACATTTGGCTGATTGGCATTACTCTATATTACCACCGGTTGGACTCAAATCAATTTGTCTTCATCGTTCTCGTTTTTTTTCATAACGTGTTAGTAGCACATACTTGAAACTTGAAATACTCTTTAACAAGACAAGGTTTCGAATACTATAATAATTAATATCTAATCAAGAATCATATCCATGTTTGGTTGAGTATCATTACTTCTATTTCTTTTTGTCGGTTTTCATATGCATATATAAAAGGATTTAGTTACACAATGATTTTCTATTAATATACAGGAACAAAAAAAAAGTTCTAAGGTCGACTGATGAAAAACAAAAAAAAGAAGACTGTAGCTTATATTAAACACTATGGATATTTTTGTTTAAGTTGTTCAATTGAAACAATTACTTTTATTTTGCTTCCAGAGAAAGATAATAAACATGTTCTATTGTATTCTATTTAAAATATAGAGAAAGATAAAAAGATATTTGAATACCTAGATCATTTTCTTTTTTATTTTTTTTCTTGATTTATTTTTCAAAGAAAATAAATTTTAATAGAATAAAAAGAAAATCTTCCATTCATTTTTCTTTCTACCTGTCTTTTTTGTCCATTTCCGGGTTTACGAGCAACAAATGTTGCTACCGTTTTCCAACTCCTATCGGGTGTTAAATATGTAGGTGATAATGCTGTTGTTTGCTGAGGTAAAATTGATTGTTCGACAATTCTTTCTTGATAATGAATTTTTTTTGCATAAAAGGAACGTTTTATTGTTGATGATGACGATGATGATGACGATGATGATGATGATGAGGGAATATTTTTCATATTTAATTGAAAATTCATCAATTTAATATATTTCTACTGAACTAATAACTTCGTCAATGATACTTCTATTGATAGATGTTCATCTAATAATAACAAAAGCCAAGTACACCTACACTTGTGTCAAATACTCGAATGAGCTTTGTCACGAACATAAGCATTATAAACTTCTATGTCAATGTATTTAATAATGACAATAGCAAGTTCTTTTATAAGACTATCCACCATGACTACTAACCCACCAACAAGAAAGAAAAAGGAGACAAGGAAGCAGATAAATAGGAACAAAAGAAAAGGCGAGAAAAAAAATAAATGAAGGCAAGAAAAAAAAATAATTATGCTGAAATTCACATGCATTTATATAGGCGAATACAAAGAAGAAAAAAAACTTGACTGCTCTACCAACAACTACCCATAGGAGCATCAACACCAATGGAAAGACTTTATTAATGTAAGTGTGAGGCGGTCAGAACGGAATCATCCTAATCGCTATTCTTTTCTTTTTTTTTAGCGTGTGCGTCTTTTTCTTGCACTTCCTTGTTTATCACTCAGGCGATGCAAGAAATAATTCTAAACACGCATAAAAACATGTTTTTTGTCGAGGTTTTGTCTAATCGATTACGAAAGAAATGATTTCTTTTTTTTTTTCATTCAGATTTATATAATATTCAATTTGATTTTTATCGAACTATAATCAATGAATCAATATTTAACGAATTAAAATTCAAATAGAAAATACTTACAAAACGATACATAGTTCGAATTGTTGATGATGTATAGATCATTGAATATGTATGCATTGTTCTTGTCTTCAAAAAAAATGAAAACTCGAAGAAAAAAAAAAAAAACTTCTTTTTCAATAATGATTAGTTCGACAGTAAAATAAGAAGCTTCTCAATTTCCGTTATGTTTCTACTTTCAAGAAGACCAACATTATTTTTGATGTTCATCATTATTCTCATCATACTATTCGCCTAAAGACAAACGATGATGTCTACCCTTATGACATGAAGTATTTTACAACAATAGAAGAAAAAAAAAAAGTACTTAATTGCGATTAATACGACTGGAGATACTATCAGGAAATTGTGATTTTTTATTATTTATAAAATAGAATGTAAAAAAAAAAAAAAAACGTTTTTTTTTTGTTATAGAAAGCAATTAAATTGATTGATTAATATTTATATATATATATATTTTTAAACAAAATATCTGAAGTTTTGATCACACAAAAACAAAAAGAAAAAATAAATGCACATATGAAAAAATATTAACGTGAAAGTGTATTAAATGATGATATCTGACAAGATTTTATTGAACATGAATCAAAATTTGAATTTGTTGATGATGATATTGAATCTAAATAAAAGAAAAATTTTCATTTTTATTTTAAATTTTGATTCAAATAAGAACATACTTGGATTTATCGGTCGTCTCCATTTAGAAAAAGCTAAAAAGAAAGAAAATCAAGATGTCATCTTTTATTAAACAGCTTGAAAAATTTTCTATTAATATTCATCATCGATTAAGGTACTTCCGTTCTATAAAATATATATAATATATTCTCTTTTTTCATTATACAAGAAAATTTTAACGAATATTTTTCTTAGAATTTATTTCATCAAATCTTACAAAATAGTTTACATTTACTAGATCTCATAGACATTCTAAGATGTTTGTCAATATTTCAATATTACTATTCAATCTTATACAGAGTAGTATGTCAATTAATTAACTACCATTGACTTCATCAATAACCTCTGTAATCAAACCTACAGAAAGTAGTAAATTAGCTTTGTTAGTGGAGATGAATACAATAACAAACTGAATGTTAATTATCTATTATTTTTTATCATGATCAATTGTTAGTTTTTACTCAAAAAAAAATCGAATGAAATTTTTCATCCAATAGATTTTATGTTAGTAGGATTATGTCGAACATTTACCTTACGAAAGAACCATGTAAAGTAATAAATAGTCTTTGAAATAAATATTACTTCATTAGATAAGTCTTGCCGAAAAAACTACACTACTCTCCTTCACATCACCTTTCAAATTGAAATTTCATCTTCAAACATTGTACAAGTTTTCAATAGAACTAGTTCATTGTCGAAATATTAGATTTTTCACTATCTTCAAATTCTAATATTAAAAATTTTTCTATGCGACAAATCAAAAATTAGTTTATAAGTTAATATATATATATGATATTAGAAAATCGAACATTTTCATAATCAATAAACATCATTGAGAACATTGTTTATATAAAATTTTGAGGTTAAAATACTCAATGAAATAAAACTCATTTGAAAATTGGATTTATCATTTAGCGAACTGTTCCCATTAATATTCAATCATATACTCACTAATGTGGTTTATTGATTAATCTCAGAGCTGTAATCGGATTTTACTGATTGGATAATATTTTATAGGTTATGCTATTGTTTCTTTGATAAAATTTGTTAAGAACAAGTTTACTTTCTCTTATCAAAATAATCAATTAGTGTTGTTTCAAGAACTATTAGTTTTATTTTCTTCTGTTCGTCCACATTGTTTTATTTCTATTATCAGAATATATTTCTTTTGTTTTTAAATGCACGATCAAAACTGTATTACTTGAGCTAAACATTTTTAAAATACAGATCAAATTTCAGTTTGAATCGTCTAAATGCAAAAATGGAAAATGAATGTGCTTCAAAGCCATACAGATTAATCGACTAATAGTGATTCAACGAACCGATTACAACTCTGTTTAATTTAATCAACAAAATTGCTTAAATTTTAAAAAAATAACGCAATAAGATATTTTTTATTTGTTTTGTCTTAATTTTACTCGACTAATTCTCTTGCAATATGATAAAATCGAGTATTTTGTTTTTAATTCATTTATCAAATCATGTCCTTTGAGATTATTTTATAGATGAAGTTTTGAAGTCAAAACTTATTTTTTCTATCTTTTAAAATAAAAAAAAATCTGAAAATAATTAAACATAATGTTTCTCGATGAATAATAAGCAGTTTTACTTCATATGGTTTTTTTTTTTTGTAGAATAATATATGATACTTTCGAGTAAAAAAATAAAAGCTTGCACTATCTTTTATTATATACTATTTAGGGCGTATCAAAAGTAGTGGCGACGAGATTTTTTTTTCTGTTGAAGAGATACAAAAATTGTGATTTTTTTCCATAAAAATCTGAAATGGAACGTATAGGACAAGAAAAATAGCGAATTTTGTAAAGAGTCATCGAACTTTATAAAATTCTAGAATTTCATAGTCATGTAGAATCCTGTAGGTGATTCTAGAAAGAACTTCGATATCCTATATCATAATAAAATCAAGGAAAAGAGAGAATACTGTTATGACCTAGTAAAAATAGATGATCACACAAATTGGAGTCTGCGTGCAAAAGCTCAAAACTTATATATACGTTTCCATCGCCAAAGAGTTAATTCATTATAAAACTTATAGAAACTTTCTCTCTATATGAGCTGATAGTAAAAACGGCGCTCTGTTTTTCTACACTTCTTCCACTAATGTCATAATAATAAAATTTCGATAAGACTAGTTTGGTTTCTCTATATATGTTTATTAACGTTATACGAAAAGTAGCGGTGGTGAAACAAAAACAAAATATAGAAACAAGTAGCTCGTGTTTCGTCTTCAATTTCTTACTGACTTTCAAGAAACTATTTCGATCAATCTTCAACTCTCCTAAGGGGAGAGAGCTTCATCACCACAAACAAAACATAATTCATCACGTGCGACTATTGCTTAAATATTAAGTGTAGTGTACACTTTACTGTAGAAGCAAAAATCTTTCTTATTCATCTAAACTAGAGATGAACAGTGTCAAAAATATATATATGTCGGAGTTGACTTTAAAATTGAAAAGGTAATTTCTTATTTCTTGTAGATAGATGCATTAGATATTGAAGTAAATATTTGATAACGTTAGTAGACACAGTCGATGGAGAAACGCTCTTTGAACATGCATTATTGAATGAGTTTAGACAGTACGGGACACAGGAAGTTTTCAATTAGATGTTTACGAGTTTTTAAGAGATATGTTGAGAACACTTCTATGTTGGAGAAATGCATTAAGTGGATTTCCGTTAGCTCCTCCACAGTCTCCACCCCCTACTATGAAATAGAAGAGATTAAACTTCAAAACTTTTCAGAATCGTTTCTCTAATAAAAGGTTGTGAGACAGTGAAAGGAAATCGATCTGTCGTTTTTTTAGACTTTATTTCTTGTAGTTCAATCAAACTTACTCCGAATGGGGTACTAAAACTCTTCTATCCTTATCTTATTAAAATATTAAATCCTATTGTAAATCAACATAATTGATGACATATTCTGAATCGCTCTGTTCCTTACTGTATTTTATGTTCTATAATTCTCTTTGTATGACCTATATCAACGATGTAGTTCTATATCTTAAATACTGTTCTTGTTAGATATTTCTATGGTTGTATATGTCTACGTTTCTTATTTGTTATTCTTTTTTTTTTTTGTTATTTTCCTTTAAATGTTCTTTCACTGTACTGCAAGGAGCTAAACGTCGTCAATTATTGCAAAATAAAAACAAACTGAAAAGACAACTAGTTCTATCTTAAGTAACTTTTCAATTGAATAGTCAATCAATTGTCTTTTAAAGGCAATACTAGTGAAGAAAGATGAACATACAAGTTAGAATCTGTGCAAAAGCTTAAAATGTATATATACGTTTTTTGTCGTCAAAGAATTAAAAGAAAAAGAATATATATATCGAAGATAATATAAATTAATGTAACTGTTACATATCATAATCAAACAGATCTTATTGAAATTTTTTTATTATGATATTAGTTGAAGGATGATATTATAGCACAGAAAAATAGAATGTCGTTTCTATTATGAATTCATATAAAGAGAAAGGTTTTTTTAAAGGTTTTTTGTAAGAAAAAAAGTACTTTCGCCATTACTTTTGATATGCTCTATGTCTATTGTATTAATTATCTTTGTAAACAGTAAATTTAATTTAATTCTAATCTTACCTTTAGTCCAAGGTAAAAAAGGACTACGTTTTTTATCTTTTTTTTCTTCATCTTTTAATTTAACCTATTGATAGAAAAAAGAAAAGAATTATAATAAATAAAAAATAAAGTAAATGTTTGTTTTTTTGTTTTTTTCATACAAAATTATTTGATCTTTCTTCATTATGTTTTAATATTTGTTGTTTTGAATAAGTTATAGATTTTCCTTGCATTTCATTTCTAATACAATCTTTATATATATCTGACTTTAAAAATCTTGTATATGAATCATATTTCATTAATTGAAATATTTGAGATTGTGCTTTTTCAAACATATGAATATTTGGATTAGTTAATAATGATTCTTGACATTCTTGTCTTGTTCGATTATCAATATTTATTCGACATGAACCATCATTTGTATCATATAAATATGCTGACCAAATTGAAGTAGCTTTATTGCGAATCTAAAAAAAAAATCAAATGTATAAATATATGATTTTAAATCGAATAGAAAAATAAGAGACTTCATCTTGATTTGTTAATTTTTTAAAATTTTCACATTCAATCCAAAATTGAATATTTTCTTGACTAAATTCTTTTTTTAAAAATTCTGTAAATATATATAAACCCATTTCATCATTAAGTAATTTTTCAAAATTAATTGCCCATGATGTTGCCGAAGAATTTTCTTCATTTAAATCAATTGAACCTTCATTAATACTTGTTTCATGTTGTAATGATAATTCATTTTCATTATTTATTGCTGTTAAAGACTAACAAAAGAAAAATAATTCAAGAAAAAAAAAAAAAGTCTAGAAAACATACAGGACCAGTTGTTAGAATATAAGCTGAAGCAAATCGTGCACGTAAATCTTCAATCGATGATGATGGATGATCCAAAAATGGACTGGAAGGATGATAATGAAAATCCTTTTCATCAGTTAAATGTAAATCATTCGCAAATGAATGACGACGAGGATGATGATCAATCCATAAAAATTGACCTGTTGTTGTTGTTGTTGTTGATGTTGAACCTACTCCTCCTAATTCATTATCAAGTAATTCACCATCGGATAAAGATGATGATGACGAAGATGAACATGGAACTGGACAAGAATCATCATCTTGACAAAATCTTAACGAAAGAAAAAATATATTTGTATTTTAATTAATAAGAAAACAAAATAAAAATAGATTTTACTCGGATGGTGGTGGAATACTTCGTTGATGTTGATCATCTTCTTCAATTGAAGATCGTAATGGATTTGGTGATGATGACTCAACAGATGATTGTGATGTTGTTCGTGTTGTACAAGAATCAATATTAGAATCAATTGATGTTGCACAGGAACTATTTGTTGAACAAGTATCTAGAAATTGTTAATAAAAGTTTTTGTTATACAAAATTTAAGAGAAGCTATGCTTAACGGTATAAGTCGATACATTGTTCGGTGATGATAACGGATGAATTTATTTAATGAAAAAGAGGATAAACGATGATAGAGAACTTTTTGATAAGAACATCTCTTAAAACTGATTTGGCATGTTGGAAATTTTCAAAAATCAAATCTCTATTTCTCTGACGCGATTGGAATATTCAGCAGCAGTGGCTGATGAGAGAACATCCTCAGATATCTCCTTCCGATTTTAATGATTTTTCGCCTATAGATACTATATAGTATCAATAGCACAAGGAGGGGGGGGGCAGTTGAAGAGGTTCTCTCGTTAACTGAATACGTCTTGAATACAATTTGTGAAGGTCTCAAACATATGATTATTTTCTCACTGAATCCGAGAATTCTATTGCGAAATTCTTAATTGAATCTAAAAGCAAACTTATTCTGTAAGAAAAATTGTATCCATTCTTCCATTGATTTTATTTTCTTTATATGTAGATGACATTGAAAGTCAATTGACAATGCTTTATTTTATGAGCGATGGATAGATGAATTATAATTTACTTTTCAAATGTTTTTGTCATTTTAAAACAGAACTGAATCGAAAAAATTCAGTATCTGATAGATTCTCGAAATAGAAAACAATTGACATCATTGAGATACAAAGATAAAGAAGTATTTTCTCTCAAGTATTGACGGACATTTTCATTGATGAGAAGTCATAAATCACATTTATCATGAGTGTTATCTCATTACATAGGTTCTCCTGAGACGAGAGAAAGCCAAAAATGAATTGTGATTACTATGAATCTTTCTTTTTTTTATTAATTACGAACATTTTAGTGAGTCTTTCAAAAAAACATTATCATGCTCTCGGTTCTATCACCTTCGAAAATTTAAACTTTGTACAAATAAAGTTTTCAGTGGAAATAGTTCATTGTGGATGTATTAAGTTTTTCAATATTTTCTGTCCTCAGAGCACGTTCAGTATTAATTAATTCCATTGAGAACTTTGTTTATACAAAGTTTGAGCTCGAAATTCAATTCGAAAGGCGATATAAGGGAGAGAGAGACCACGGTATTTTCTTAAAAACTCACTAAAATGATCATAGCTGACGAACTATCGGCATTTATTTTTTTGAGATTTATTTCAATGACAGGACTTATCTAGTGATAGTATACTATGTCTTTCTATTTTATCAGAAAAAAATCGATAGTTTTGAAGGAATCAATCCTCAGGCTCTGTCTAATTCTTTCCATTTTATGATAAAATATATTAGAGAATTTATCGTAAGCTTGCGAAAGAACAAATTCTAGAAGCTGTTACTGCTCTCTAAAAGAGTTGAATAGAGTCGATTGATACATAATATCTTCTTTGTTTACAAAAATATCTTTTAATTCAAAAGAGTTTCTGAGTAAAAAAACAATCAATTATTATCTGAATAAAAACTTTTAACAAACCTGGTTCATCTAATTTATTTTTTTTATGTTTATCTTCCATTGTACATTGATGATTTGAACAATGTTTTGCTCGATTAAATAAACATTGTATTATTCTATTTCTTTCATCAATTGATGATGCACGAAAAACAAACATTGAACTTGAATTATGTTCATATTTAAATTTATTAATATTTTCATCAATTTTAATTGAACAATAAAGTATAAGTGCAAATAATGTTGGTTGAGTATGAAATAAACAAATATAACTTAAATATTTTCCAGCTAAGAATTTAAACCATAATGGACTTATTTGAAATTGTTTACATTGTATACGAAATTCAATTTTATTTGATGTTGAATTTAATATTGAACGTTTAAGAAATTTTTGTATTTTTTTAACTAATTCATTTTGATTATTATTATTATTATGATCAATATCAAAATAACCAAGAAAATTAATTGAAGAAAATGTATATAATGTTTGATGATTAAATGATAATGAAGATTGTGAATCAATAAGATTAACACCTGGTGTTAATGATGAATACATATCTTTTAATAAAATAATATCATTTATTTGTGATAATAACATTCGAAGATTTGTACTAATTAAAACTTTTGATAGACGTTGACGATTTATATTAGGAAAAGATTTTTTATGATGAGAAAATATTGGATCTGATGTTGTACTTGTTGTGGAATCTTGTGAAGATGATGTTAGAGATTCTCGAGCTTTTTTATAATAATGTTTTATAGGATATTTATTGGTTGTTGATGATGAACCAAGGTTGACATCACGAAGAATTCGTCCACGAAGAGCATCATTTACTGATATTTTAGAGGTTATACGACAGGGAGATGGTGATAAAATATTTTCTTTACATTCAATACTATCATCTTCATCAATATCATCATCAGGATCAAGAACCTAAAAGAATCTTTTTTCTTTATTCAAGAAAATAAAAAAATGTAATGTAATTCAAATTCTTACTTCAAGTACAAGTAAATTTGTATGTTTAGCATAAACAAGTCTTTTAACATCATCATGTCTTGCATCAAGTACATTATATCCATTAACTTTAGCTAAAATTTGTCCGGAACGAAGGCCACTAGCTTGAGCTAAACTTCCTGAATAAACACAAATTGAACAAGGTTGTTCATATTGTATAGCAAAACCAAATTTATCTCGTTCACTTCTACGACGTAATTCAATTCGATGTAATATAGAACGAGAATGTTCATTCATTTATGCTTAAAATCTTAAATAACAAATACGATAGAAAAAATTAAATTCTTTTACACAAATAAAAGCAATATTTTATTTTAATGCGCTAAGAAGAGAGGAAAAAAAGAATTTGAAATATATATATATATATATATTAAAAGTACAGAGAAGTTCATATACACTGTTCAACAAAAGAAGCACACAAATGTTATAATGCAGACATTTGCCTAAAATATTCATATTTTGATTATCGACGAGTATTGGCAATGCATACTTCAATCTAAATATTAATAATTAAAAGATATATCAAAATATAAATGTAAATTAGTTGTTTATTTGAGATAATCAAGAAAAAAAATGCCAAAAAAGAGTAATATTTTATGGAGTATTTAATTTTACTAGCAACAGACAGAATGAAAAGCTTCGAATCAGACCAAAAGATACGATTTTTCTCTTTGGTTAGCTAGAACAGTAATATTTTCTGACAGATTTATATAGTTGACGTTCCAAATTATATCATACTTACGTTATTTTACTCACGAGGAAGGTCTCCCAATTGAAAATTTGCTTTTGAATCGAGACTACGTACATTCTGTAGAACCAAATGAACTAACAATACCATGAAACAATTCAGGCTCTTTGTTGAGATGTTGCACTTTCACGATACTTTTTAAATAAATGCTGCGAGAACACCGGGAAAACTGATTTTTGAATTTCAACTTGAAACTTTGTGCAGAGATAGAATCCTAATGAGAATAGTTTATTGTGAATGTTTCAGATCTTGTCGTTGTTCCTATCTTAACATACAATTATAGTAAAAGCATGTATTTTACATCGCTCATATATAACAGTAGATTCGATATCCTTATTTCAGGATAGAAAAAAATCAAAAGAACTAAAATTTTCACTAAAAACTACTCTCATTAAGTTTTATCGCTGTAAAAAGTTTCAAGTTAAAATTCGAAAATCAGTTTTCCTGAGGGAAACAACGTTATTCATTTACAAACTACCGTAAAAATGAAATATCTTGGGAAAGGGTCTGAACCGTTTTAGAATATTATTAGTTCATTTTGTTCTACAGAATGTACGTAGTCTCGATTCAAACACTATTTACCAGTTAGAAGACTTTCCTCGTCAGATATATGTAAAATTTTCATCGGGATTGTAAATGAAAAACTACCTTCCACAGCTCGATTAGCCAACAGATATAGTGAGTAAAATCTAATTTAATAGACTATTTTATCCTCAATTGACTTAGAACTATGTTTTCACTATCAGTAGTAAAAATTTGATGAAATTCCGATGATATCTGTATGTCGAAAAAGCGTTCGATCTTCATATTTGATTGCTCACTAAAATAATGTAAACACAAAACTTAATAGAGATATCTGTGAGGAAAATTTATTTATATTAAATCAGTGAATATTTTATTAATAGTTTATATAAGTTACTTTATTCATGATTAATCATATGAGACATTCAAATACTTAACAGTATTACAGAGATCTATAACTAAAAAATAATCTTCATCATTATCATTCTTGAGTACATTATCAAATATCATGCTGCTAATTATTTATAATTTTTGAGAAAACTGTAATCTTCATATTCTATTTAAAGTTTTTAACTTACGCATCGAAGTCCTTTTTCCATTGGATCAACCATAAAAATGCCACGATGATTAAGAACATTTTCATTTTTTTCTGCAATATACTTAGCAGCACGTTTAACACACTAAATATTTTCATTTTTATTAAAACAAAAAACAAACATATTTAAGAATTTTACCTTTTCATAATGTGTAGGCATACAAAGTAAAAGTAAATAACCTGTTAAACAAGCACAACAATTTTCCATGAATGTTTTACATGATAAAGCTTCGGCATCTGCAAAAATTGCATTTATCTCACTTATTATTCCAGTAAATTCATTACGATCAATCTAAATTAGTTAGAAAATCAGAAGATAATGTAGAATAGAAGACAATAAAATGATTTACTCTTCCTTCAAGTTCAGTAGGAAAACGTTCTTGAAATTTTACAGCAGTGCCCTCAGAATAATCACGTTGAATAAATAATTTTATTGATTGATCATTTGTTAAACGAGTAGTATCGTCCATCTCAAATAGGTTTATTTTAAACTTTCGTAGACAAACAAAAAGAAGAAGATAAAACAACAACGTCTTATTTTGTTCAATGATTGGTGGATGAAACATAATTAGTCAAATAGTTGACATTACTAGATGACGCCACTGAACAGCAACGAACAATTAGAGCATAACTATTTAAGAATAGAAATGTTTACTCAAAATATTTTTATCTATCAGAAATATCATTAGACGATTTTTAACAGCTAGCAGTTGCTGAAAGAAAATAACCAGGGTAGACGACAGCGTGTCTGATTCCCAAATTCAGTGGAAAATGAAATTTTTTTTCAATCACAGATATATAAAAACACCTTTTCAAGTTCTTCTTCGATGCTAAAATGTATTTCGAAGACTACCATGCAATCAAATTTATTTTTTACATCTACAAAACGCTATTCTTCCATAAAAAAAAGAACGGCCTTGTTCAAAATTTCAACATCTGTAGGGTATAGAAGAAAGAAAAGATGGTGCTGCCGAAGGTGGCACCTGTTTGGAACAGAATTAAAAAACATTTAACACGACAATTTCATGATTTAATATGCATAAAATGAAAGTTGGCTTTATACTATAGAATTACAAAAAATGATTCCGTGTTTTATTATAACTGGTAGTCGTTTGCATCGTCTTCAACATCTGTGGAGTCGTTAAAGCCGGATAGTTGATGAGTGTTAGATGGTAGTTTGACCATGTCTCCTGGTGCTATGTAGGGAGCTTGTGTATTTGCTGTCGCTCATAAGACAGAAACCATACGCCTGAAGCGACGTGATTGCAGTAACCTAAAGAATCATTCCTAACAGGATAATCCCATTAGTATCCTAAGATTTCACCATACGTATATTGAATGGTTGGATTGCATTTTTAACAAATGTGCATCACTTGAGCAGATTGAGAAACGTATAAGATTCGAAAACTCCTTGTTTATGTAAATTGTATAATTTGTAGACCTGAAAAGATCTCTTGTTGAAGATTTTCTTTCAGTATACAATTGAACGCAGTTAAGTTGTAAAATACCTTTAATCAAAATGAAGATTAAATTTATATAAAATCAATTGTACATTTAATTTCAGTATACCTAAGGTGATATCTTTTATTGTGCCATCTTCAGAAAATGTTAAAAACTTATTAATTGTATTAGTGTAATCAAGTATTTTTGATTTTGATGACTACTTTTTCATATTATGTTTCTTTCATGAAATTGAGACAATATGCTAAAGGATCACAATTTTCAAATAGTAATTTAAAGTCACGGTCTCAAACTTTCTTTTTTTATAAGGTTAAGTTATCATTCACTGTGCCCTTCCAACTTCTTCTGAAGTAGACGTTTTAATTGATGATGAATGTCTACTAATAATAGAACGTATAATTGATAAATTTTTGTAATGAGGCAACGAAGAATTTCCAGTACTTAATTCGGCCACTTACTGCTTCTCCTACTCATCTAACTGTTATTATCAATCTCGATTAATTCGCCTCAGTTATGGCATATCCACCGCGATCGTTGACAAATTATGGAAAAGTTGCATTGAACACGAGTTCTTTCATTGTGTCAACTGAGTCTCGAAAATTTCTGTCAATAGCGACATCATTCTAAAGGAAAAAGATGATTGTGTATCAACATTTTAGAAAAATAGAACTATATTCAAGTAGTCTTACTGTATGATCTATATTTTGTAACAAAATACTTTTCATAATTGTAGTATCATGGTTGAAATAATTAGAAAAGAAAGGATAAAAACAAGAAATTATGTAATCGTTGATAGAAACAGTCATGATTGATTTTAATAATGATAGCATTTTTGTGACGATTAAATGGCTATCTTTGAAAATCGTTGTTTCTAGATTTTGAATACAAAACAGTAGCTAATATTAAAAAACGGAAAAGATGATTACTTACTTGAATGTACATGTATGTAATATCAAGATCAATAATTGTTGTATCAAATTCATCATTGCACATTAACATTTTAGGGATTGTTGATCTGTATTTATTGTCTATTTCAAGATGTATAATATTACGAAATCCAAAATTATGTTGCACAAACTCGCCCATTTAGGCGCTCCGAACGTGTTCGAGACTTCACGAAACTGCTCTCTTGTCTGGCAGTTAGAACAGAATAGCTAATAACCTGTTAAATAATCAAATTGAAGTTTGCATCATGCAATATCAGTTGCAGTACAGACAGGATAGATCTATTATTTGCATCATGAATATAAGATGTGAATATTCTCTAAATGCGATCATGGCATAAAACTTTCAAAAATATGTAAAGATTCAATCTTTATCATCAGACAAAAATTCGTTATCGTTAATATTTGCAATGTTGTTCTATTTCAAACCATATTTTTCATGTACTTATTCAAAGTTGAATATTACCCTCTTCGATCCCAATGACTCTTGCATTCTCTACAAATGCAGAGAAAAATTAAAAAAATCCACTCTCTCTTACGTTCAGTCATCGCTAATTAACCGTATACATGTGGTAAATTTTTTCGTTCATGAAACATGGATTTATATATCTCTTCATATGACAGTTGTTTATTGATAGATAAGACAGAACGCAAAAAAATTCTTGCGTTCTGATTGTCTTCAATCTGCAGACAGCGGTATCCAAGAGATTAATAGAATTTGAGTCAAGGAGGAAACGGCGGATTTGAAGCACAAAAGTACCTGAAAATACAGAAGCAACTTCAAGTTACTTCAAATAGGCACAAGTAGCTCCAAGTTAGACTTCTGCAAAATGGTCACGGTCACGGTCACGGTCACGGTCACGGCGTCTCGTGACCGTGACCGTGACTAGTTTTCGAAAAATTGGCGTGACTGGGATCGTGACCGTGACTAAATAGCTCGTGACCGTGACCAAATAGCTCGTGATCGTGACCAAATGGCTCGTGACCGTGACTTAACAGTGAAAAATTTTGATACTAAAAGTCTGATTTTTGTGAAAAAAAATCAAAATTTTAATTGATTTATGGGTTTTCTTTGTTTTGTTACAGGAAAAATCCACGAAATCAATTTAAATCTTGGTTTTGTAGCACAAAAATCCAGCTAGTAATCCAAAATTTCCGTGGCCGTGACGTGACCGTGACTAGTTTCGAAAAATTTCCGTGACTATGAACGTGACCGTGACCAGCTAGCTCGTGACCGTGACGTGATCGTGACTAGTTTCGAAAAATCTTCGTGACTATGAACGTGACCGTGACCAAGCAGCTCGTGACCGTGACGTGACGTGACTGAAAAATCGTGGTCACGCAGAAGTCTACTCCAAGTACATTAAAAGTATCACAAAGTAGCTTAAAGTACTTTTAAAATACAGTCAAGTACCTTTAAAGTATTATCATGTACTTTCAAGTATCTGTAAGTATCTTCAAGTATCTTTAAGTACCTTCAAATACCTCCAAAGTCTCTTAAAGTAGTTTCAAGTACCGATAAGTATATCGCAGTAGACGAATAGTTTTTCAAAACCTAAAAATTTATCAAATGAAAAGCAATTAAGATGAAGAAATACGAAAAATTTATTTTATTTATTTGTAAAGCAAAGAAAAAGTATCAATAAAAGAATACAAAAAGCAAGCATTTTATGAACTAATATTAGCTGTTTGTTGCATGACCTGAGACAAGGGATCACTTGATAATCTTTTTGTTGTGTTGGATAATAACCAGCAAGCTGTTTGTTTGTGAAGATATTTAATTTTATCATTTATATTGATCTTAAAATACGAGCGTTCCAGCATAGGATTAATATTATCAACAATTTTTATTCCATCAAAATTTGATATTGTTGAATTTAATATCTGTTCTTCATTGTTGTAATCATTGTTATCAACATTTAATAACTCGTAAAGTTTATCTTCTCCCAGGGTTGCCAGATCATCCGAATTAGTCGGAAATTTCCGAATTTTTTAATTTTTTCTGACTGCTTTTCGACTTTCCGAATTCATCCCAATTCTTGAGATTTTTCCGAAAATTATACATTTCAAGTAAAAATGTTTATAATCCAAAATCAATAATCACTAGTAATCGAATCCCATGTGATGTTAACAACGATAATAATGATTGTTTAGTAAATAGCGGTGCAAGAGCAAATGAATATTTTCAATCTGATCGACGATGGTCATATTTATTATATATTAAACCAAATACAGTGCCAATAATGAAACTAGTTGTTTCCTATGTATTTTCTATTCCATACAGCATTGCTTATGTTGAATCAATATTCAGTCACACGAATCACTTTTGGTCTGATTATCGAAATCGAATGGATATCGAATTGGTCGAAGCTGAACAACAAATCAGAAAGAAATTCGATATTCCTTGTGCACATTCTTATGACTCTCTTTTAACTCAAGAGGAACTATTGGAAAAAAATAGCCTCAAATGAAAAATTTGTTAGAAAAAAACGTCTTGATAAATGAACTTTAGTTTTTTTTCAATAAGTGTTTTGAATTGTATATATATACATGTGTAGATAGTTTATTTTGAGTTTTTTTCGTGTATTAATTGTCTCTCTTGAAAATGATGTTTTCTAATAGTGCTATATTTTAATATATTTGTTTTAACATTGACGAAATATATCTACAGAGGGAAGGGTTAATTTGTTGTTGTTAAAAATAACTTAACTTTGCATTGATGATTTTTTTCAAATTGCCTTGCCGATGCACAAAAGTCGAGTTGGCTAACTTTTCCTCAGCTCATCCAAATGCGCTAAAAATTTGGATTTAGAGGTTTTAGTTAGATGATGCTGGTTAAGATGAGAACATCAAATGAGAAAACTAAATTTTGACGAGTACTTCGATTTCTTGATGGCCTCATGGATCCTCTCTTAAAACCATGAAAATCGTTAAAAACAAGCAAAATAGGCCAGCTTTAGTGCCCCAAAAAAACGATGAAATAATCGGCAAAAACCGATGAAAATCGGCCGATTTTGAAATTTCAACTGGATCGCACAGGTGATCGGCATTTTTTGTAAAGTGTG